CTTTTGGGTAATTTATGATTCACTGTTTCTGCCATATTTGTTCTCTCCATGAGGCCTATCTTTATTATATTTTTGTTGTGTTCCTCTTAATATTTATTTCCTTTATAAATGTTCTTATGATCTACTTGCTTTTACTTTTYGCAATACTGTATATGTTCAATCTCCTATAATAAATATTGCTCAAAAGGTCTTGCCATATGGTTTATTCCTTATTTTGTTCCTTTGTTTGGTGGGGCATGTTGTGCATTTCTATTTAGTTTCCATAGCTAAGTGTTAGCGACTGATCCACTAACCTTGAGTCATGCTTTTTAAATATTGTAACTCCACACATCTTAAGCTAAAAAGTGGAGTCTATTAACTCTCCATGTAGGGATTTTGACATTTCGTCAGCAGCTGCTGCCATTTTCTTCCCAAACTGCTGTGACCAGATTTTGCAAGGCTGCTCGGTGCGTTTGCTTGTAATTTCCTCCTGCTTCGTTATTTCTACGAATTTCAACAAATCGGGCTGCCGTCAGGTAGTTAGCTACAGCCTYGTCTTCGAGTTTTTAATTTTTGTTGATGCGTTTTGAAGAGACAATTTTTTGAAAAGAGGATCAAAGTAAATCACCCGAGTTTTTCTAGTGACTCCTTAAAGAGATAAGCTGCCATGAAGAACATTATTTTACCTGCCCTTGTTCCAAATTTGATAATGATTTGAAAYGTCGAAGTATGTTTTTTAACATGGAACGTGGCTTGTTGCAAAGTGTKTTGACGCTCGTCTTCGTCACTTGACACATTTAACACGCTGTCATTGCTTGGGGAGCTTTGTTTACAAAACACACGTCCACATGGTTTTTAAATTGTTTTAATTTCCTTACGTTCTAAGGCACATTAAGTTGATTTGATGCTACAGTTTGCCTTGTAATGGTATTTTATGCTTTTTCTGCTACTTTTGAATTGGCTATTATGAAGTTTTATTAGTTTTATAGGATACAAGATGCTTACAAAACCAGAATGGGAATCTTTTCCTAAAATTTCATGGCGATATCTTGAACACTGAGGAAGTTATGAGCAAAATTAGAAAACAGCAAGGTGAAATGGTCACAAAGGCCCCATTGGTTCTGCTGTGAACTGCAGCATGCAGCATGCAGCAAACATGAGCGTATTT